TTATCTCTCTCTCTTATTGACTTTCTCTCTCCCTCGACTCTCTCTCTCTCTCTCTCTCTCTCTCTCTCTCGCTTTCTCTTTCTCGACTCTCTCTCTCTCTTTCTTTAATTATCTCTCTCTCTTATTGACTTTCTCTCTCCCTCGACTCTCTCTCTCTCTCTCTAACTTTTTCTTTCTCTTTCTCGCGCACATTCAGGCGCTGCGACTGGAGAAGGAGAACACGCTGTCGACGCTGCATCGTAAGGCGCAGCACACGCAGCAGCTATCGCAGGAGAACGAGAGCCTCGCGCACGCGACGCAGCAGCTGCGCACCAACCTGCGCGCGATCGAGGAGCGCATCACCACGCTGTCGCACACGAAGGAGGACGCCGAGGAGACGTGAGTGTCGGACGGGAGGGAGGGGGGAAGGAGGGAAGGTGGGTCGCCTGGAGTGGAGGGAGGGAGAGAGGGAGAGAGGGAGGTAGGGTCACGTGGCGCAGAGGGAGGGAGGGGGAGGGTCGCATGGCGTGGATGGAGGGAGGGAGGGAGTGTCATACGGCACGGAAGTGAGGGAGGGAAGGCGAGTCACCTGGCGTGGAGATAGGAAGGGAGAGAGGGAGGGACGGTCATGCGGCACGGAAAGAAGGAGGGTCGTGTGGCATGGTAGGAGGGAGGGAAGGGAGGGCAGGTGGTCACGGGGTGCAGAGGAAGGGGGGAGTGTGGGAGAGAGGGAGGCCGTGCGGCCCAGAGAGGGAGGGGATGGATGTCAAGTGGTTCAGAGGGAGGGAGGGAGACAGAGGGTGTCACCGGTGCGGTGTTGCAGTGTGAGTGTGAGTGTGAGTGTGAGTGTGAGTGTGAGTGTGAGTGTGAGTGTGAGTGTGGGTGAGCGTCTACGTGGTTGTGACTGCCTGAGTGTCAGTGTAACAGTGTGAGGATCACAGATTTGGCATCACAGCGTTAGTGTCAGGGTATCAGAATGAGTCACAGTGTGTCAGTATTAATCTCAGTGTCAATGTTAACATGTTGTTTGTCATTTCCTTGCAGACGGACATATTGTTTGTCGTTGCCATGTACGGTGACATATTCTTTGTCATTACCACAAAGGCTGACATGTTGTTTGTCATTGCTGTGTAGGGTGACATATTATTTTTCGTTGCCAAACCGGCTGACGTATTGTTTGCTGTTGCCAGGTTGCGTAAGAACGAGGAGATGGCTGAAATCCTTACACAAGAGAAGCACAACTACAGAGAGCAGGCACAAGAACTGGTGGTCACGCTCAATGTAAGTACATTCCCAGAATCCCCCACCAATGTAAGCACATTCCCAGAATCCCCCACCAATTATTCCCAGAATCCCCCACCAATGTAAGCACATTCCCAGAATCCCCCACCAATGTAAGCACATTCCCAGAATCCCCCACCAATGTAAGCACATTCCCAGAATCCCCTGCCAATGTAAGCAAATTCCCAGAATCCCCCATCAATGTAAGCACATTCCCAGAATCCCCGTGATCAATGTGATCGGCTGACCACCGATCTGCATTGTAATGTGTCTACTGGTCATGTCTGTATGTTTAATGTCGTTCGGCGCTCGCTGACCGCGGATCTGCGTTCTTCTAGGAACTGATGGAGCAAAAGCAGATGACGGAGCGGGATCTGAAGGACGAGATCGAGGCGAGGATGGACGCGGAGCGGCGGCTGCACGACGCCGAGCAGTCGCTACGCCACCTAGAGGGGGCGCTGTTCAGGACGCGCGAGAGCATCACGTCCGAGACCAAGTGCGACATGATGACGGACGTGAAGAAGCTGAAGCGTACGTCTGTTGCCGTAGAAACGTTGCTGATGACGATGACACGTGTGACGTTATGACGAACGTGATGAAGCTAAAGCTTATGTCGGTTACCATAGAAATGATGACAATCACGAAAATGATAACAACACGTGCGATGTGAAGAAGCTGAATATATCAGTTACCTTAGCAACATCGATGATGATGACGACAATAACAACAGTGACAACAACAAGCGCGACATTATGATAGACATGATAAAGCTGAGGCTTAAATTAGTTACTATAGAAACATTGATAATGATGACCACAATTACAACAATGACAACGAGTGCAACATCAACAATGACAACAACAAGCAATTGCAGTTACAAAAGCAACAACAACAATGAAAACAACAGCAATAATAACTGACAACAACAACAACAACAACAACAACAACAACAATCAGAATGACAAAGACAACAACGACACTATCAACAACGATGATGACAACAATGATGACAACAACACTAAAATAAACAATCACCAATTGCAGTTACAACACTAATACAATTGAAATCATCATTCCAACGATAACAACAACACCCACAACTACCACCACCACCACATCACCAGGAGCGGCTGCAGCAAAAGAAGCACGTCAGCAATAACAACAGACCTAAAACATTCATTATTATTATTAATATTATTATTATTAGTCATTTAATCTATTCGTGCTTTCCGTGCTCGATTAACCCAAACGCCACCTGTTGTCGTGACCTCGCAACGTCTCTGACCTTGACCTAGCGTTCGTCTACATGCAGAGTTCTTTGAAAACGTCGCGACGGAGGCTCAGATCGACGCGAACAAGCCAATCATCATGAAGAACGCCGTCTACGCGCGCAAGAACTTTGTGCGGCGGGCAAAGACACTGCGTGCGGCCACGCTGCGCCGTTACAAGTCGAAGAGCATGGGTGAGCAGGCAGCCGCCATATTCCTCTGTCCTTCTTTCGCTCTCTCTCTCTCTCTCTCTCTCTCTCTCTCTCTCTCTTTCTCTCTCTCTCTCTCTCTCTTTCTCTCTCTTTATC